TTTCCCTCATCTAAATAACCCCTCTTCTTAATGACAATAATCAAAGCAACCAGATGTGCTCCACTCCAAAATCAAAGCCCGGTCTGTGTCGTCATGGTTACCTTATCACTGACAATGCTCTTGCCATCCCAGGCCCAGCCGCGCTTGGTGAAGTAGTTTACTGTGGCAAACTCGATGAGAGCAGAGAAAACAAATGCGTAGCACACAGCAATGAACCAGTCCATGGCTGTGGCGTAGGCCACCTTTGGTAAAGAGTTTCGAGCGCTGATACTCAGAGTGGTCATCGTTAGCACTGTAGTCACACCTAGAGCAAAATAACAACAACAACAAAAAAAAGACTCAGTGAGCACTGTATATACAGATACCGCATTAGTGCAGCATGACTCACTGCAGATAATTACCAGCATTTATGCCGTTCACTCATTTGTGGAAGAGACAGCACAGATGTACGCGTGTAATCACAAATGCCCTGGGCTAAAGAAATTGTGTTCATTTCAGCAGTCAGTCATATGCCCTAAGAGGACCTCCTGTCCTCATTTTATATAGATGATCTTCTGTTTTTTTGAAAACAATTTTAATGAATTTTTGCATCCTCCAGGAAAATAAATCAATCCAAATACTGTATATTCATCATTATAACAGATATTAGAGAGCAAACATAGAAAAATGCAAGAAATGCTACTCTTTTTTTTAATATCTCACTTTTATCTTTTTAATCAACTCAAGACATTTCTTTCAGATCAAGAAACAAAGGAATTTTCACCAGATGATTTAAATAGCTTTATTTGGGGAAAAAAATTTATCATTCTAGAATGACTGGGGTGGTTTTATACAGGAGTGCATCTGCATGGAAAATAAAAATAATGATGAAAATGACTTTTATAATGATAAAAAAATACTTTTTACTCTGAAGATTTGTTTAAGTGCAATACATCCCATTAAGGCAGAATGATTTGGAGTTTACTCATTAAAAGAACCAGCTCAAACCTCTTACAGTAACCATAATCTAGTGTTTAATAAAAATTATTTCATTTTACAGTACAATTGTAAAACCACAGCACTAATATTTACATCTCAGTTTCTTTATTTCAAATGTTAAACCATTGTGATTTTGGCAGTTTTGCAATCTGGTTGAGCCATGTGCTATCTGTGCTGGTATTGCACTGCACCAAGCATAATTCAGTTTTGCCATTGTGTTTTTTTTTTATCATGGCAGCATTAACTAATCAAATGATGACCAAGTGATCATATAGCCAGCATTTTCAAGAGCCAATTTAGGTGCCTGGATCACAGTGGTGTAGTAATGTTGTACAGTCCCGGTAAATTGTACCACACACGGGTAGTTTGTATCCCCCCGCACACCGAGCACTGATGCAAGATGTAGAATTGTGGTGTGCACATTTTTTCATTCGCATAATTGCTTTAGTGAATTGGCCACTAAAACAACAAAGCTTGTGAATAAACAATGCTATCAGCGTTTCATTCTTAACTAAGTTCCCCCTGCGAGTCCGTGTTTAATTTAAATGTGTCTTTTGGATGCTAAGGATTCCTCCCACTGAATGAACAAAAATACACACATTCATGCACATAACTGCATGGACAAATTTTTCTCCAAAAACACAATGGAGGCCAATTTTATAGCTGTTTGCCTTTGCTCGCAGCCATTTAAAATGTTTCCCTAGAGTTCAGAAGGAAATTGAAACTGCTAGAGAAAATCAAAAAATGTACACATTCTACATCAGCTTTATCCATGACTGCATCAGTAATTTAATAAGAACAACAAAATAAGCATGCTAAACTGATTTAACAAAGAAATATGTGGCATAATAAACAGAATTAAAAACCTTTCCACATTATGTTCTGATTACACAACACATGCTCACCCACCAAAAACTGTGCGTGCGGGGACAGACTCTCGATTGAGCCAAAAAGAGACTTGGGATAAGATGACGGTCATTATGCAAGGCAGGTACGTCTGGATCACAAAGTACCCAATCTTCCTCTTCAGATGGAAATGGGCAGTCATCACTGTATATTCACCTACACAGCAGGAAAGAGACATGAGAGAGGGAAGAACGACTGATAAGATCATATGGATCCAGATAATTTTGTGAATGTCTTACCAGTACTGGACTTGATGGTTTCCTTGCCAACAGTCTGTCCCATTAAGTCATACTGGTTAAGTCTAGATCCATCTGGAGCTACTTCCACCGATAAGGTGGCATTACGAGTCCAAACATACGTCACCTCTGTCAGAGTGTAAGCATCTACATACAGACACAATATATTATAATAAAACCCAAAGCATAGACAGATATTAATCATTATGGGAATAAAATAAACTATTAGCATTTTTGCTTACAGCTGCCAAATTTAAGCGGACAGGAATGGAAGTCCATTGGAAAGTCCTCAAGATGCATTGGGCATTCAGCTTGCACTGTCAACCTGCACAAATACACAAACATTATACAACAGTCACTGTGTTCTTACAAGGGCTGTCAATTTCATTCATTAATATAGTACATTTAATTATAAAAATCATAAATTGTAAAAAGGATTTTCCCGCTAACAGAGCAATTCAAGCTTACCGTTAATTATTCACTACTGTTCAAAAGTTTGCTGTCAGTAAGATTTTTTTTTTGAAGAATTAAATACTTTCATTCAGCAAGGATGCATGAAATTGATCAAAAGGGACAGTAAAGACATTTACAATGTTCCAAAAGATTTATATTAAAACAAATTGAGTGATATCTACTGCAAATTCAAAGAAATCATTTACATTTTAAACTATATTAAAATAGAAAGATATTTTAATTATAATATTTCACAATATTATTGTTTTATTGTATTTTCAATCAAATAAATTCAACCATGATGAGCATAACAGATGTCTTTCAAAAACAACAACAAAAAATCTTACTGACTCCAAATGTTTGAATGGTAAAGTAAAACTGGTTTTTGGTCTTAAGATTTTAATGATTTTTTAGGGATTTGTGTTTATTGACATAGAAATAGAACAATATTTTGACTTTTAAAGCAAGTTTTTGTAATGTCTATTGAATGATTTACTCATCTGCCTCTATAATGCCTTTCAGTTATTTTGATTTGGGGCCTTTTCTTAGCAAATATTGATATATGTGATTAATTATGAATAGTTTGGTAAATTAAACAGCATATCATGTAATTATTTTGATTCATTTATTTGATAACTCTAGTACAGGGGTACCTCATAGTGTACAGTAGAGTGCCGTTCTCCATAATCCGCAGTAGTTTGTTAGGCATGGTCATGTTGTGAGCCACAGATTTCTTGCCGTTGTGAAAGAAAGTGTCTGGAGTCCAGATTTTACTGGCCATCAGGTTGTTGAGACGCAGGATGTTCATTGGCCCGTTAAACTTCAGCCGCTCATCTGTCCAGCGCTGACGGAAAAACACATCCACAGTGTATTCCTGAGAACAGAGAGTGACATATCAGGGGCTTAGACATTCTTCAGTGCTGACACAGAAAATGTGTTTTCATTCAATGTGGGACCCCAAAGTCTAAAGGCTGCTGTTTGTCTAATTCAATTGTATGTTTTATTAAAAAGTATATTGTCAGGATAACCATTTGAAAAGTTGAGTTGAGTTAAACATTTTTTTTAAAATCATCTATCAATGATGCATTTCATTGATCAAAAAAGACAGTACAGACATTTATAATGTTACAAAAGATTTCTATTTTTGAACTTTCTATTCATCAAAGAATCCTGAAAAAAATGTATCAAAGCTTCCACAAAAATATTAAGCTGTTTTCAACATTCACAATAATAAGAAATGTTTCTTGCGCAGAAAATCAGCATATTAGATTGATTTCTGAAGCATCATGTGATAATGAAATAATGGCTGCTGAAAATGCAGCTTTGCCATCACATCAGTAAATTACATTTGAATGTTTTTAAATACATTTTAAATATTTAAATATGAAAGAAAACAGCTATTTAAAATTGTAACAATATTTCACAATATTACTGTATTTACTGTATCTTTGATCAAATAAATACAGCCTTAGTGAGGGAAAAAAATCGTACTGACACCAAACCTTTAAATAGTAGTCTATATTTTAGGATGTCATAGTATTTATTTGATCTACTTTTGCTTTAATGGCATATTGTTTATTTCTAGATTTAATTTAGATTTTAAATCTCAGATATTCAATGTGGTCTCAGACTTCGGATGTCACTGTACATCTTTTAAAGACAGCTAAAAGAAAAGTATTAAAAGTAAGATGGAATGGGCTCCCTCAGTAAGTGTCAGCAACTTTTCAGTTCTCTCAATATGTTCATTGTCTGTGTATAGTGTGTTTCATCTTCCTCTTTATAGTACTAGAGAGTGGCAAAGTGTCAGAAGCGCTTCACATCACTGCATTATATCCCAATCCCTCAGGCACTGTGCTGCCATGCACCGACCCCCGGGGTGAAGGTGGGCATCCAGTTTCCATGGCAGCACAGAGACAGACAAACATAATGTTATGTACATAAGAGATAATACTTATTCACTCCCACACTCATACAGGAAAGATTATATTGTGTGACAGTACATGCTGTCACTGGAGCGCCAGGGCTCCCCAGCACTCACAGAGCCCATCTAATGCTTCATTTCCGTCTCATTCTTCCATCTATCCTCCATCAGCTTTCACAATGTCACAATCATACTGTAGGAACAAACCTATTATGGGTCCATACTAAGTTAATTCCAGTACTATTATAAAACATAAAACCTTCATCTCGAACAGACTTTGAGGAAAGCTTGCCTGGTCATTTGATATTCTTGCTAATGTCTTGCAACATTACCTTTCATTATGGAGGAGTCACGCAGAACTAGATAGACAATACTTGTCACTTTCCATTCTGTCATATCATAACCACACGGCCTGAAGGGAGTGGCATAGTAAGACTGATAAAAAATAACCTGCTTTTGTGTTCCTCCATAGTATATGTCTATTTTAAGGCATTATAATGTTTAAAAGAACATGGTATTGTGGAACACTAAAACTAAAGGCTGATCATCTGAAAACACATTTAGGAAATGATCTGTCTAAAAGCGAAATTTATGTGACATACACTAGATATAATACTAAAGATTTAGTGTATCTGTGATCAAATCAGCATCAGTTACAGCAATATTATTAATTCTTTAAAAATCACTGTTGGTCAGAACATAGCTGATAATATTATCATATTATCATTATCTGATAATATTATCATTATAATATTAATAATATTATAACAATTATTTTTTTTCTGTGCAAACTTTTTTTTTTATAAAATCGAAGTCAAATAATCAAACAATCCTGTACATTAGATTGTTCTGATAGATAAATTCAGTTGTAGTAGGTAAACTGTCTGGATTCAGTTTTTTAGCAGTATAGTACAAAATACACGTATGGTATCTTGTTTACGTATGGTAACCCTCGTTCATAAGGGACACAACATGGGTTACCATATGTAACCGAGATGTTCCCTTTCAGTGAGTCACTTCGACGTTCCGACACTAGGGGTCCCTACACTAAACCCCACAGCTGCTGAACTGCATTACGAGTCCATGGGGGCGCAGATGTTGACAAGCCCAGCGTCACAAATCACTGAGGGTGCTTCTTAAATTAGTGAGGGTGCTCTCTCGCTATATATATAAAATAAATAAATATATATATATATATATATATATATAATTATGCCCCAAGAGCATTCCCTTAAAATCACTAAAAGCTGTCACTCATCTTAGTTCATCGCAATCTCACAAAGTTACGTTATAATCAATAAAGTTATCTACGCTGCACAATGAATCTCTTATTTACATCGCGTCTACACTTTGTTATAATGAGATGATTTGTGCTGAACACAACACCTAAACAAAAACTCCGGCAATTTAAGCGGTGAGTGGATTCTAACTTAAACACCTCTGATTGACTGTCGGGTTCAAGAAATCAACAGATATGTCTGTGATTGGCTAAATTGCTCAAAGCTGCAAAAGATGTTGAAATAGAAACCGATCTCCAGAGTTCATTTCGCAGAGTTTGAAAAGAACACTACGGAGACCACATCCTACCCAAAAGGGAGGTAACATGTGGAGATACAACCTATCAAATCATTAAAAGGGAGTACTACATAGGGAAGGTTTCTGTGGTGGGCTCCACATAAGGGGAGATCTACCAAGCACAGAACCAGACGACAGACCAGCTGTCTGTCTTTAGGAGTCCTTATTAGGAACAGGACAGTGGATTAACATGCATATGGGACCACCGTAGTGAGTACCAACATATGGAGCACAAACCCATTATGAGAGTTCAGTCAAGGGAAACTTACAAGTAATTAGTTCTTGCAATGAGTTTCTCCACCAATATCAGCTACGGACTCAAAGAGCGCACACTATCACCTCAGAGAAGGGAAGGGCACTATATGCAAGCTCTGCACCTTACTAGTCACCCTGAATCCAGGATGAACTGGCTTACACTTACAGATATGGGAATTAGCAAATGTATAGATGTAGTCCAGCCTGCAGCTCTAAACCTGTTTGCTAATGAGGCACCACGTCCTACAGCTGAAGAAACAGCCATGCCCCTGGTCGAGTGCCCTCACTCCCAGTGGGCCAGGTTAAGCCTCTGGCTTGATAAGCCATGGAAATTGCATCCACAGTCTAGTGGGAGATTTCCCGTTTGTAGACAATGTTCCCTTCCGCTGTCTTCCAGTCGTAAACGGATAGGGCTTAGATTTTTCATCCACTCATCGAGCGTAGTCAGGAAGCCGTCTTCGTACAGAGGGCACTAATTCAGCTGACTGGAAGGCTCAATGGATCTCTCCTGTAAGGCCTCAAGGCCACTGAGAGATCCCAAGAGAGGATGAGGCATGGTCTAGGAGGATTCAACCTCTGCGCACCTCATAAGAACCTTGTGCTTCCCCACCGATCTGCCACTCACAGGTTCGTGGCTCATACCCTTCTTGAGTACAATGAAGTGAGGGCTGAACCTCTCATCATTTGGGCTAGGGGGACAAGATCTATTGCATCCTTCACCAGAAGGATAGCAATTTCCACCCGAAGGACAACAACACTCTACCCTTGAACCGGAGTAACAGAATGCCACTGATGACAATGGGAAGGGCTGGGGAGTCCAGACACCTTGCCAATGGTCAGAGTGGGACTACGTTCGACTTACCTGAGACAGAGTTCCTGCGGCATTGTGGAACAAGGCTCACCATGACAGAGGACTTTGTGTCCTTTGAGACACTTGGTGAAGGGTGCACAGCACCAGCCTTGTCCCCCAGGTCTGCTGGGGAAGCCTCTGACATACGAAGGAGCCAAAGCTTGCCTGGGTTTGTCATACTGGCTTGATATCAGACCGGGTGTATCAAAATGTCAGGAGTCAGAAGACTGCATCCGAACAGGCTTCAATGCTCAATTTCAGTGACTGGTCATCGAGGTAGCAAGAGCCAGAAACGCTGTGTGAGTAGTATGACCCAAGGAAGAATTAATTCCTGTTTTACTGACCACTTGGTGGCCATCTGCCAAATGGCAGATAGCCTAGGTGATGCAGCATCCACCTCCCATCCCCCGTTCGCTCGTTTGAGGTCTGCTATGAAACCTGCCTGAGGGTTCTAAGCAATCTGAGAATGAACTGTTGGTGCCACCTGGCTGCAAGAGGATAGACATTAGTCGGGCTTAACCACCGGTCCAGGCTACTGCAGGGTCAATACAGTTCTTGCAGGGCATTCCTTGGTGACAAGCAGGCGGAGATTGCTACATTGGGGGTCAAAGTATAGAACCCGACCCAAGCCGAGGCAGAATACTTTCTGCCCGCTTGCTGATGGTTGAGAATTGCTGGGCAAATTCTCTGAAGGTGTTGTCAGAGAGACCAACCTAGGAAATGGACTCAAGAAAGCGCACTTTCTGAGAAACTGCATTCCCATCAGGTTGAACCACAGGTGGCGCTTCTGGGACACTAATGTGGACATCGCCTTCCCCAGAGCCTGCGGCGTGACCTCCGTAGCCTGGAGAGCATAGTCAGTCATCGGATGCAGTTCCTGCATGCTCTGGGTCGGGACCACCCTTGTGCGATCCCTGGCCTAAACACCTGCAGGACAGCCAAGGGTGGGGAGCTTGTCCAGAAGCAGTATAACCTCTCGCCCCTAGGGATGAGGTAACTTAGGTGCTCTGGACAGGAGTCTCGGACTGCCCCACCAGGTGGTGGCATTTTGCACGCAAACTGCACTGCAATCGCTCTCTCCATCGGGGGACCCTGTATATCTCTTCGCTGGACCGCCGTCAAGGGTGGTGAGAACAGAGGGATCTGTGTATCGTGTTATAGCAGAAAGGTGCCTTCCACGATTTCATCAGCTCTTTGTGCACTTCCGGGAAGAAAGGAACTGGGGCGAAGCATGGCAGAGTGTCACGCTCGGTCTCCAAGAACTAGCCAACCA